CGAGGATTCCTTGTCTTTCGCCACAGTTTGGAGACGCCGTCCATTCCTTTTGAGGCACGCATCACTCGCCCGTCCACAAACCAGCCCCTGTGAAGATATTGCCAACGTCCCTTTAAAGCAGCCGCCCCTGCGAGACAGCCGTCCGTGTAGAGCGGCCGTGCCTGCGAGACGCCGCTGTGAGACTGACGTCCCTGTGAGACGTCCCTGTGAGACGTCCCTGTAACGACAGCCGTCTCCGTGAGACAGCGGTCCCTCTGGAACAACTGTCCCTGTGATACGCTACTAGGAGGTAGACTTCCCTGTATAACAGTCACCCCTGTGGGACGACCGTCCAAGCCCGAGAGGCTCCGCTTACGCACGCTGTCAGTTGTTTGAGTGAGGCAGTTCCACCGCTTGCGAAATAGCCGAGCCGTCCCCGTCTCTGCCAGACGGGGGACGGCTGTGGCTGCGAGGCTGCCGTCTGTGGCGCCGCACACCTCCCCAGCCACCGCTGACTAATTGCGCCTCGATCGGCGGCAGGGCGGCGCCGATGCCGGCCTGGCGCGGCTGATAGGCGGCTGGTGGCCACGTCCGCCGCCCCGGGCCGGCCCGTAGGCCGTCGAGCCGCGTGGGGCGCCCGCGCCGAGCCGGCCCGGCCCGGCCAGCCAGGTAGCCAGCTGATCCACGGTGGCGGCGCGCCAGCTGCAGGTGGAACGAGGCATGGTGTAGCGACGGGGGGGGGGGGGGGGGGCTCCTGTCATGCCTGGAGCATGGGCTGCCGTCCGCATACGCGAACTCTGATCTGTGTATCCGGCGACTGGTCGTTCAATGTTCCGGTCGGTGGGCTAGGTGCACTTGATTCGAGGCACGTGAAAGAGACGCGTCGGTAGACTGAGTGGCTCGTGCGGCGCCGAAACCTGACGCGTGGCCGGCTGGACTCGCAGGGCACGCAGCCCACTGTTCCGTCCATAAAGTCGGGTCTGTAACCCCCACCCCGCCCCCCTCCCCCACCCCCAATACGAGACTCATTAGAACCAGGGCAGAGGCAGTATCACACTGCTTCGTGACTGGGCCGTCACAGTCGGGGTCCCGGAGCGTGACGAGCGTGCGCTGTGGCTGCACACGGCGATATCGCCTGCCAGAAATGCTGGGTGACCGCAAGGCACAGGTAACCGTCAACTGGATCTTGTCAGAGCTCTGCCCAGCTGCACTGGATCTTGTCAGAGTTCTGCCCAGCTGCACTGGATCTTGTCAGAGCTCTGCCTAGCTGCGCTGGATCTTGTCAGAGCTCTGCCCAGCTGCACTGGATCTTGTCAGAAGCGCATCTTGGTGTGCGTTTTGTCAGTCATCCGGCCGGACACGGCACCATATGGGCATGCTTTTTTGTTTTTTGTTCTTTTAAGATCAATCACAGATTTTGAATGGATGCATCTCTGGAATCGAAACTCGCGCTAAGTAGTGCTTGTTGTGTGGGCCCTGACCCCTATCATTCGAAAGCGCATCAATGCTCGGTACGGTCCACCCTGCCATCTGACGTCACCTGGCCTTGCACTCACATTTATATTTGTACACGTCGTGAGGTAACTCCACAAAGGAACCTAGTGTCAAGTCCATATGTGGAACGGTGAATCAAGTGGATAGAACACACAAATAACGCAAAACATACATGTGGTCATACATGGTAACATAAACCGAGTAGTCATTAATCAGTACCTGGCTGTCTTCGCATTATGTGGTCTCTGATCTCGATCTTGAAGCGCGCCGGGTTCACTGCACGAACAGTTGCCGGTAGATCAGTTAACGCAGTACTGATCGAGTAACCTAATCTCCGTATTCCAGACTCGGAGCGTATCGCCGGGGACGCGAGGTGACGCACACGAATTCTTCATCCGCCGCCGGATCTCGCGCGTGAGGGAACCTCAGTCGCCGGGTGGTGGTCGCAGACGTGAGACCGTCATCAGCTGCCGGCTCTCAATTATGGGTGCGTCACCTGGGAACAATCATCAGCCGCCTTTCAGCAGCTGCTCTCCTGTCAGCTCCTGTGGTAGTACTCGGTCGAAATGTTGGTGACTTACGGCGGATCAACATTGTTCAGCGCCGGGCAGGATCTGGCTGATTTTTTCAACAGTTTTCCATTAACCTGGTGGCTGTGGAGGTAGCCCGGTCCGCCGAGCTTGCAGAAGAGCTTTATGAGCTCCGAGTTCCGTGGCAGCTGGATCACCTCACAAGCAGTCGAGTCCGTGCGTCACTGGACTTCAATGACACGCTCATCTGCTCAGGCAACATAGCTTTGTCTGCCTACTACCCTGGCTGGCAGGGCGGGCACCGCGGGTAATCGAGCCACGTGCCTATAGGTTCCCAGACGCGCAGCTTGACCACTCCGTTACCGGCACACTAGTTCGCAGCCAAGTCACGTCGCTACTGAAGCGTGCTGTGAGCCGTCGCGTCCTGCACTGACTGTACCACGAGCCTCCCGATCCCGTGATCATTGGATCACCTCACCAGCCGTCCGATCCCGTGATCACTGGATCGCCTTACCAGCCGCCCGATCCTGTGATCACTGGATCGCATCACGAGCCGCCCGATCCTGTAATCACTGGATCGCATCACGAGCCGCCCGATCCTGTGATCACCGGATCGCCTCACCAGCCGCTCGATCCCGTGATCGCTAGATCGCTTCACCAGCCGCCCGATCCTGTGATCACTGGATCGCCTCACCAGCCGCCCGATCCTGTGATCACTGGATCGCATCACGAGCCGCCTGATCCTGTGATCACTGGATCGCCTTACCAGCCGCCCGATCCTGTTATCACTGGATCGCATCACGAGCCGCCCGATCCCGTGATCACCGGGTCGCCTCACCAGCCGCTCGATCCCGTGATCACTGGATCGCTTCACCAGCCGCCCGATCCTATGATCACTGGATCGCCTCACCAGCCGCCCGATCCTGTGATCACTGGATCGCATCACGAGCCGCCCGATCCTGTGATCACTGGATCGCATCACGAGCCGCCCGATTCTGTGATCACTGGATCTCATCACGAGCCGCCCGATCCTGTGATCACTGGATCGTATCACGAGCCGCCTGATCCTGTGATCACTGGATCGGCTCACCAGCCGCCTGATCCTGTGATCACTGGATCGCATCACGAGCCGCCCGATCCTGTGATCACTGGATCGTATCACGAGCCGTCGTCCGTGCCGGTCGGCGGTCGCCGCCGTGGGAGCCGGCGGGGCCGCCCTCCCAGCGCGGCGACGCAGTCGACCGCCAGCCGACCTCTAAACGACGACCGGTCGGTCGCCCGCCGGCATCGCACCGCGGCCGGCGGCGTCGGGGGCCGGCGGGTGACATCACGCAACTGGCGACGTCCGATGGCGATGTGGAGATGACTGATGACTGTGGTGATGACAAATGATGGCGTTACTGACCACATCTCAGAGCACGAGGCGCTTCTGGATGCGCAATCGGCACTCGAAGCCCACCGCTTGGCGTTGCGTTACAGTTCATACGGGTGAGAATAACGGCGCTGCAATGCGGGAGGCTGGCGTCGTGTTACAGTTTCAGCACGTGTGTTGTAATTCTTACGTCACTGTAATAATAACCAGGCTTGCGACGGCTGTACTCTCGGGTGATTGCACAGCCCGCCTGATGAGTCACTGAGTCATATGAGTGATCGGACTCTTCGGCTGCGTAACCAGCCGGGCTGCGATGCGCACACGGTCGCCGCCCACGGATTGTTAAGCCCGCGGCCGAACGGAGGAGCGTTACCGCAAGCTACATCTGTGCCAGCCTAGATGCGACTCAATCGATGTAGTCTAGCCTTTTGAGCACCCCCTCTGCCATAAGGAGGTTGGTGTGTCAGTCTGTCTACAGGCAACGGGCGCGGCTGCCATCGGTGGGTCAGTCGACGGCGGCGGTGAGGGTCGGGGCGCGCGAGGTCGCGCCGGGCCGGTCGTTGGGGCGCCGGCGGATGACCGCAGAGTGCAGCAGGCCCGGCTCGGCCGTGCAGGCTGACACACTGACCTGGGGCCGTGGCCAGAGGAGTTTCGGACACGGCGGCCGCCGCTCGGCGGGGCCGGCCGGGTCGGGACGGTCGCTTGCAGGCCGCAGACGACGACCTCTCACGCAACGACCTGACGCTCGTCGCGGCCTGTTGTCAGGGTGCGAGAGGTACTGGGGTTTCAGGGCGCGTCAACCGCATTGGTTATTTGCGCTTTTGTCAGGGTGCGGTGCTCTTCAGACGTAAGAAAAATGCCACTTTTATCGTAAGCAGGCATCATGCATTCAAGTTAAAGCCAATGCATTAATTAGCATGACCTTCATGGGGAATCACGTTTCACAGAAACCATATTGGCGGAATTTTTTTGCCCTATTCCTTGGCAAACAATGCACCAATTGTCTTCATAAAACGGCAGTCAGTGCTTCAGCGATTTGATCACAGCTTGTTCCGGTACATTTCGTGTCTACGGGCTTTAAAACGAAAAGGACGCTCAAGTGATGATACATCCGTCCAAAACGGTTTACTTGAAGTGTTGCTGGCTTCTTGCCCAGGGAATTGGTGTCATTCGGATGAGTATAAGGGCCCTTTTGCCTCATTATGTGACTTGTATGTGCGTTGATAGGTTGTATCTTCGGCATTAAGAGCCATAAAACGGACGTGAACCTTCATATACAGCGCTGAAATTGGTACGTCTCTATCACCGTTATGACAAAAAGACGTCCAAAACTAGCACCACACAAGGTGACAGCGTTCACGGCGTCTTTTTCAGCAGTTGCTCTGTCAATCGTGCTGTTGTCAACACACGTCGTGAATGTACACGCCGGCTCTATCCTTCTGCCAGAATCCCGGGCTCAATGGATGCAACACAAGCATACATATCACACACTCTTTATCGGCTTAAACATGATCAGAATATGCATCACTTGACCGTGTGTGATATACAGCCAATCCATAAATTAAACATCGGCAAACACAACCCTGGAAAAAGCCGTGCAGTATAAGTGATGCATGCAGCTCGCCTCACACTGGCAACACAGCCACTCAACAACGTCATCACACATTTCTTAGTTGCCACTGAAACGTGCAATCACTCCAGCTCGCTGTACATTGACACTGCTGGCCATAATCATATGCTGTCGGTGTAAAGGCAACGGTTCCTCTGACGCCGCGCGGCACGCGAGCGGCTCGAGCTAGCGCATTCACTTCTTGCTGGTGACAAAAGGCTCCGGTGAGGCCCAAGTATAACACAGCACGCACGTGGTGCTTGCAGTCAGGTGTTGCATCTCTTTCCACGACAAAAAAAATTAGTGAAACGGCGTTATACTCCCCGTTCAGCGGCTCAGAAAAGCCCTGCATAGCACAGTTGAATTCACACACTGCAGAATGATTGTAGCGATGTGTTTGAAGGAAGGAGATAATAAAGTAAATGGGGAGGATAGAGACGGGACATAGAAAGCGATATCGAGCACTGAGCAGACGGACAATGGGCGCGACGGACCCCACACGCGCGCGCTTCGGCCATTATTCTTCCGTCGAGGCGAGGCACAGCCAGCGCCTCGAGGCAGAACCTCCAGCCGCCGCCCGACTCCGATGCTAAGAGCCCAGAGCCAGCTCTCCTGGGCCCTCATCGCATGGGGCCTTGTACCGGCGCCCCTGGACCCGGCTCTCGAGGGGCCTCGTTGCGGCGCCGCTGGTCCTGCCTCTCGTGGGACCTCGCGCCGGCGCCTCTGGTCCTCCTCTCGCGGGGCCTCGTTGCGGCGCCGCTGCGCCTGGGTCGGCCTTATCGTGAGCCGGAGCTGGTCGGCGAGGAGCTGGTGTTCCTCGAGAGCGAGCGCCAGCTGTCGGTGTAGTCGAGCCTCATCGGCGCGCGCCGCACGGCCGTCACCCGCCGGGACAGCGGCACGTGACAGTTGCCGGCCAGCACGAGCGCCGCCGACGAGCTGCCGAGGACGGCGCGGTGTTAGGCCGTGACGTCACGCATTGTCAAGATGGCGCTCACTGCTGCCGGTGAAGGGTGGAAGTGGAGCTTCGCTGAGGACGTACACGGCTTACGTCTATACCTTGTCAAGCATAGTATTACAAAAAAGACAATCTATCACAGGTTATACTAATGGTTAAACTCCACTGCAGTTCTAGCGGCAAGGCGTATGTCAAATGAAGCTCTGGTGTACATCAACAGCACGACAATGTACGTTGCGTGGTCGCCCTCGCAATGATCAGTACCTGTGAGCCTTCTGTCTGATCGGATGCTCACGAGGAACGCAGTCCAGAAGCAGCTCCTGGCTGGAAAAGTGTGGGGGGCGACCGGCCGTCTGCTGTTCAGCCTGTTTGCTTTTAGACAGACGTGGCAGCAAAGTTCTGGGGGACGGGGACACCATCCGTTAGAAGAAGTCACACCAAGCAGGTGGGTTTCACCACATAGGAATTAGGGTTGAAGGCTAAAACCCACCACATTTATGTAGGCCGGTTAAATGCCCTTTGACCACTTAAGACTTTTGATGTGGTCTCCAGCACACTGCACTTAAGCGGACAGTCGAAGTATCTGGAGCTATAAAGTACACACCGTACGTTGAGATATGTAGGTCCCTGCTGTTCCCGGCTCCGCACCGTCAGCGGGAGCTGTCAGATCCTTACTGTGCCCGGGTCGGTGACGCAGCCGGAGCTGTCAGATCCTTACTGTGCCCGGGTCGGTGACGCAGCCGGAGCTGTCAGAGCCTTACTGTGCCCGGGTCGGTGACGCAGCCGGAGCTGTCAGATCCTTACTGTGCCCGGGTCGGTGACGCAGCCGGAGCTCGGGTGCGCCTCGTCTGCAGACTGCCCGTGGCTGGAGAGTGTCTCGGCTCCGAGGTGGGCAGCACGGAGACGGCTGGTGACGGAGAGCGCAGGATGACGGTCGGCTGCAGGCAGTTGTCACAGAGCTTGCGGGCCTTGCCCAGGCCCTGGCAGCAGCACGGGTCGCGCAGCAGCCGGTTCGCCCGGTACAGCGAGAGGTACTGCGACTTGGGCACCATCACGTACTCGATGGCGCGGTGGTCCCAGGGGTCCAGCTGTCCGCCGTCGGGCCGGGAGCGGCAGGCGCAGGGCGCCGGCAGCCGCCCGCCGCCGCCGTCCGCGCCCGCCGCCGCGCCCGACTCCTCCGACTCCGGGTCAGACCCTGATGAAGGACGGCGGACTGTCAGCACACTGGTCCCGCACTCATCGGACTGTCAGCACACTGGTCCCGCAATCAGCGGACTGTCAGTGCACTGGTCTCACACTCAGCGGACTGTCAGTGCACTGGTTCCGCAATCAGCGGACTGTCAGTGCACTGGTCCCACACTCAGCGGACTGTCAGTGCACTGGTCTCACACTCAGCGGACTGTCAGCACACTGGTCCCACACTCAGCGGACTGTCAGTGCACTGGTCCCGCAATCAGCGGACTGTCAGTGTACTGGTCCCGCAATCAGCGGACTGTCAGTGCACTGGTCCCGCAATCAGCGGACTGTCAGTGCACTGGTCCCGCAATCAGCGGACTGTCAGTGCACTGGTCCCACACTCAGCGGACTGTCAGTGCACTGGTCCCGCAATCAGCGGACTGTCAGTGTACTGGTCCCGCAATCAGCGGACTGTCAGTGCACTGGTCCCGCAATCAGCGGACTGTCAGTGCACTGGTCCCACACTCAGCGGACTGTCAGTGCACTGGTTCCGCAATCAGTGGACTGCCGGCACTTCGGTGCAAGATACAGACGCACTGTCAGAGCACCAGCGCTGGGTTTTAACAAACCAAAAGCACACTAGCTCCAGACTCCAACAGGCTGTCAACACACTAGCTCCAGACCCCAGCAGGCTGTCAACACACTAGTTCCAGACCCCAGCAGGCTGTCAACACACTAGCTCCAGACCCTAGAAGGCTGTCAACACACTAGCTACAGACCCCAGAAGGCTGTTAACACACTAGCTTCAGACTCTACCAGGTTGTCAGCACACTATCTTCAGACTCCAGCAACGGTCCTGATACCCGCGCCGGGCTCATCAGGCTCCAGATGAGAAAGGCAGCACACATCTGACAAGATTAGACTGCTCACCACACCGCTGGAGGCTCGGGCGCAAAGTCAAATATTGTGTTGTGTTTTCTTTCGTTGATGAGCCTCTGTACAAAATTTATGGTTTGCAGATTGATGACCCTATATCATGAAAGCATGTTGCGATCGTGCGGTTTTGTGCTCGCATAACATATGCACTAAGGCATGGTATTTCGGCTTTGTCAAAGGTAAACATTTACTTGCTTCATGCCGTCTTCCTCTCTCTCTCTTCTTCCTAATAAATTTCTCTCACGGACGAAAAAAACGAAAACGTATATTTCTTAGCTCAAGGAAAGAGCCCGTTAGGCTAGACAGGTACAATAGGAGCGGCGGGGCAAGGCTACACGCAAAAAGCTGTGCTTAGCAGGAATGCTCTTTGAGACGAAGCTCTACTTACTCTGATCCCAGACTCATCATCATCATCATCATCATCATCATCATCAACGCAAGACATACGGCCTAAATTTTGTAAAAGAACGATGACTACGTGCAAACATTTGCGCCTGCAACATCTCAGGTCGAGCTCAAAGAGCGAACTCGGCGACACCAAGGACACCAAGTTTGGTGATGGTGTGTAGTGAGGCGTTCAGTCGGGCGGCTTTTATGTGCCGAAAAGAAGTATCCGGCCGCCTTGTCTCCGCGCCAGGCTTTCTTTCCCAGGCATCACGAACGCTTCGTCGTACTTTCCCAGACATCACGAATGCTTGGTGGTGCGTGATCTTTTCTGCCTAGTGACAACGAAAAATTGAGACACTCGCCAACATTCCTAAAACGCACTTAAATGTAAGGAGCAGTCTAAAAACCGGTGATAGACATACTCCCGCCTGTTTTAAGGGCAGGCGTCATTTTCGTCCCTAGTTTTGAGCCGAGGTAGTTAGGTTCTGGCATACGAAGATATTTTGCTAGCCATAACCTCAATGAGGTAAAAAAACCAAGCTGCTGGACCTAATTACATTTTGACTGCCTGAGACCTCGTCTTACACGGTCATGTGACCAAGAATGGCAACACCGACAGCCGATAGCGCTGCCGCAAAGTAATTGGTTACGCCGTGATGCGTAATTTAACACAGCTGGGCCAAACATTTTTTTGAGATAACATTTTAATGGCATTGGTCGAAGGGCGAAACAAAATAATACTTAGTGGATTCTGTTTAAGCGGGCTATCTCGTCGTGGTTCCAAACAGGCATGCCATTTTCTGAAAGTTGAAAGATGAAATGGCTCAAGATGACTGCGTTCCAGTAGGAGGATAGATTTATCAAAAGATGACATCTTTGCTTTACTTGTTAATGCAGGGGAGAGACTGGTCGCGTTGTCACAGGCTGATGTAGCACATAGGACCGTAATATGTTGTGCATATTAACTTAAACTGCGCAAAATCTTTAAACGTTAACATAAAATGGAGCAAGGTCTCAATTTTGGCAGCTATGTCAGAGGAACACCACACAGAATGGCGAATTCAAGGCCCTGCAATGATGTATGATGATGATAAGATGTTGATAAACAAATAAGATGATGCATATGTCATATATGTCAGATATGTCGCTGTCGCATGTCGCTGTTCATCCAGAGCAGGTCCAGCTCAAGTGACACTTGGTATCACGACACGGTAAGGACCTATCGCATTTAAATCGGCGTAAAAATCAGGAGCCATAATCACAGTATATGTCTCAAAATGAATGATATGTCTGCGCTCTGTATCAAATCACATTATTTTTGTCACGGCATTATGTTTGTCTACAATTTGAGATGAATGCATATACTTATTTTGGTGTTAAAGCTGTTCACCAAGGACAATGCGTTCTTTCAAGGGCCGACAATATGTTGCTGCCTGCAGACAAAAGTGAGGAGTTACCAGATGGTCAGTGGCTTTGGAGAAATTTGAAATGAAAGTCCAGCAATGTTCACAGGCAAAGCTGGTGTTTCATGAAGTTCAGGCATTTCGCTGCCAGTGAACTCACGACCGTCTTGTTCGCATCCCCTCCAGTTCCGTCCCGTTTTCCCGGCAACAATGTGCCACTCAATCGCAAATAACTCATTTCCTCCGATTGGTCGCCGGAACTGGCCAATCAGCGGGCATTCTGTGCATCCTTGGCTAATCACACTGCGGCACCGTAGCGGAACAGCAGTCGGCGGCTTCCTTGTTGCAATCGGGCCGCGGGCGACGGGCTCGATGGCAGCGCGGCGGGGGTCGTTCACCCTTCTGAGTCGACGGCGCCGTCGCCGCGCCGGCTGGGCCCGCCCCAGGGCGTCACTCCCCCGCAGCGATGGAGCGGTTGCCAGCAGCAGAGTCGGGCCACGCGACCGCCGCGGGCTCGGCACACCACACTGCGGGCCGAGATTAACCCCAGCCTGCGCCGCGGCCTCGGGCGGGGCAGCGCTGGCGCTCGCTCTGAACTCGGCGGAGCGCCGCTCGGCCGGGCCTAGCGACCCGACCTCGGGCCTCGACCGACCGCAGACCGACGCGGCGACGCAGACGGCGGGCCGCGGCCAGTCCGGACCGGCGCGGACCGGGACCGCTGCCGGCCCAGGCCGCCGGGGACTGGAGCAGCACCGCGACCGACCGTGACGCCCGTCTACCGTCACGTGCGGCCCGCTCGGCGCTACGTGACGCGCTGGACGAGCGTCACAGGCGGCCGCGAACAATGCGAGCGCGGCCCTTTGTTGTCCGGCGAGATAACTGGGAAGTGGTGGGACCGGTCGTCGGGGACCCGCGCTGCTGTTAGGTGACCTAAAACAGCGTCGGAGCGCGGCAACGTTGACCGTAAGCCCGGTGACAGGGCGGTGATTAAGACGATGTGATGCGGCTGTGATCTTGTATCTACGTCATTGTGCCTAGCAGCTCGACATCCTTGCAGTTGTGCCGTTAGCTATTCTCTCCCTCGCTGTAACGTGTTCGCTCAACAAAACCTATTCAAAGACTGAAGCAAAAACTGGGTCAATACACTTGTTTTGCTGGACCGCACACCCTGGTCTGCAACCTGTCGTTTCTATTAGGCATTCTGTGTATAGCTTTACTTGATTTTTTACAGACCAGTGTGATGCAGCGGTTTAGCACTAAATAAGGTTTTGACAAATGCACTAAATAAGGTTTTGACAAATGCACTAAATAAGGTTTTGACAAATGAGTCATAGCATCAAAGGCATTTATACTCGACAAACCTCCTGCGTCTTCATCCTCCTAGTAATCTGATACACTGCTGCAAGGCATGAATGTTTGACGACTTAATACCAAACGACGCGTCACTGAATGCAAATGAAAAGTGATTCCTTGTCTGCACAACCTGTGCTGTTACATGAGGATGCACCGCTCACGTAGTTAAAGTTAGTTCGTAAATCGCGCAGGTCATAGGGACGCCGTGCTCCTCCTTGGCTCTGTCCGCTATCCAACGGACGGCGTTTCTTGCAGCAGCGATGATAACGTCTCAGTGCCGACGTTCTGATCGACTGCCGCTGGGGGCTGGAGGCCCCCGCGAGCAGCGGCCGCGCACATTGGCCACGGTCGGCTGGCCTCGTCAGATGTGACGCATGCGCAGTCACCTGTGCAACACTCCGGAGAGCCTGACCTGATCGCACCGATGGGAGAGCGTCAGGCACCGTTCTCACCGGTGAGATCCTGCGAATCGCTCAGATGAGTACCGTTTTGACCCGCACGCGGATGGTCAGGCTTAAGCCATGGAAGCTCGTCCGTGGCTGCTGCCAGCAATGTGCCTTTCTAACCCGCCCTAGGCTTGTTAAGTTTGCACCGTTCTGATCCGCCCGCAGTTTGTGAGGCTAGTAGCGTTCTGTCCCGCTCGTGGTCCGTAAGGTTATACCGGTCTGAGCCTCAGAAGCATGTCAAACGTCTGGTATGGCGCTGTCCGGTCAAATGTTGGCTGCAGGATGTTCAGTGCTCATTGCCTACATTGGAATCGTCCGGCTTATGTAGTCTGACGCTCACGGTCGTGCATATTCGTGGCAGGCTGCATCCATTAGTTTGCAAATTAC